CCGGACAATATGCAGGATGGTGCAGTTGCCCATGATTCCAACACAGCATAGGAAACAGAGTGGGATGGAAATCCAGTGGTGATATTCCTCATAGCCTGGGATACCTGTGAGATAGAATGTAGAGGACAAGGCATTGCTGGAGTTTAAGGGTGCCATAGTGCTTAGTGTTAAGCCTCAATCCAGTCTCACAATTACAATCCAAATGGGAATGATGAAAGTTCAGCATCTGTGGAAGAAAGTATATAGTCATTGTTTACCTATAATAACCCCAAATCTTTTCCCATATTTACTTCTGCTTTTCATTTCTTATTTGACTGTTGTGAGTTATATAATATATCCACATAATAACCCAAGTACCTTACCTTCTGCTTTTCTGATTTAATTCAATCACCATTCCCTAAATATGGGTGATATCTTCTACGACACACTAATGGAGTTCACACACCTCTTGTTGATAGTTTTCAGTTTATAACTTTCTTGGCAGGGTTCACTAGTCTTAAATTAGTTGCCTCTTTATTCTCCTATTGATTTCTGCGGTAATCAACACAACATGGCTTTTCTGTCTAAGCTTGATAGTTTTTTCAAAATGCTAGAACTCCTTTCCAGCACTTTATAGAACTCAGGCAATTGTTTGTCAGCATGCCTTTATTCTTATTAACATAACTCCATTTTACAATGAGTTTACACACAAGCCTCCTCTATAAAGATAGTCCTCTATCTAATATTAATTTTGTCTTGTCTTAACATTCCCAAAACTAAATACAGGTTAAAATAACTTTAAATGGAAAATTTGTGAATCTTAAAATAATGATAAAATGTATTTTCAAGTATATTCTTATTACACTAATCTATACAATTTAAACAATGTAGAATTGATTAACCCTGATTTTAAGCTGTTCAGAAACTTCTTCCTACTGTGTTTCAGAAGTGATCAATCATTTAAAGAATGCTTCTTTCCAACAAAAATGCAAAAGGCTAGCTCGGGCTTGTGAAAAGTCAAAGGATAAATTCATGACACAAAGAAAATAATTGCAAAAATATGATGCTTAGTAAAGACTTATTAGCATAACCTTAACAATAAATTTGATCTACTCAGACCAAATGCAAACAAAATAATTTGCCTAACTTAGTCCAGTACTTCTTTGCTGGTAATGTAAAATTTCTGAAGGAAGAAAGATGAATGACATCTCAAAATTTCACTTTTTCGTCACTTGCAAGCATCCATACACCAAAGCACTGTTTTGAGAATTTATAAGCATTGACATAGATTAACTTCCATGATAAATTAATAATTTGACATACTTTTTGTCTTGTAAAGTCTATCGCACCCTTTGGGTCACTCAAATCTCACATAATCTCATCTTTTTATGCAGACAAATCCTGAATGCAATGGATATTTAATAATGCCAATTTTCTAGGAAATAAAAGCCCCATAATAAAAAAAAGTAGACAACTAAATTCCAGAGTTAAATTCAATCATTCTGAGATCATATTATAATTAAATTCTGTTCACATTTTGTGCAACCTGGACTACAGAGATATGTACTTCAATCTTTACAACATAGTGTGCAGGTGATGGAGCTAGGTTATCGGAAGAACATATGAATAAATTTATGTGTGGTGCTAAAAGAGTCAGATCCATTAGGTGGACAGTTTGAGCCTTTGGTTTTTTTTCAAAGATTTATTTATGCATACAAAATCTGGGATACAGGCCAGAGGTGTGGGGGGGTGAGAGGATTCACCAGGGACAGAATGGGGAGCAGAACAGGCAGATTGACTAAAGTACACTGCTGAGGGGAGCACTGGGAGAATCAGGAGAGGTCGGCTGTGCCATGTGGGTTACTCCCTAACTCAGGCTGCCACAGAGGGCAGTCTCAGTGGTAGCACTGAGACTTAAACCTTAGGCCACCAGGGAAACCCAACACTTCTTTGTGTTTAATTTTAGAAAAGATGAAATTTTGTGCCATTTCAAAGTGCCTCCTCTATGTAAACCAAAGATACTCACAATTTGACAAGATTTTGCTATGGATTAAAGGCAATATTGTAGGAAGAATAGTAGCATAGGTCTTTCTTATAGTGTCCATGGCATAATGATGATGATGCTGAAGACTTACCTGACAATAATTACAACAAAAAAGCAACAATAATTCTTTTTTTAATGTTTAATATATTTTTCTTTATATAATTCTTACATCATTTTTCATTTTTGCACAATGTATGCATTTTCATTTTGGTTATAGTCCCCATACAATTCCACCCTTCTTATTTTGATCCTAATCCTTCCTCTCCTCCCCCTCCCCTGTAGTGTGTCTCTGGTTTATAGTTGCTTGTTGATTTTGAAAAAGCAATAATAATTCTTTGAAGGATGAAGAGTAGGAGGAGAATATGGAAAGAGTCTATAATATCATCCCATAAAGGACAACACTATAAATTAACATGTCCAAAAGCAACCAAGCAGGCTGAGGAACTGAAAGTCACTCCATCACTTTCATCAGAGAAGTTTCCATTCAGCCAGAAATATGAATTATAGTGACATTATCTATGTTATAAATATTTTAATTCCAATTTTGGACTTGGGAGAGGGAAAGTGCAGATTCCTGGAGCAATTGGGAAATCTGATCAAGAAAAGGAAATTTCTGAGATTTCATTAAGATAGGAATCTAAGAAACCCTATTAGCATTCTGAGTTTACACTATATATATTAACTATGCCCCATGTGGTATGCCTGTTATTGCACCATCCCATCCATTTTAGTCCAGAAATTTGGGGCAATCCTAATCTCAATGCTTCTGATCCTTTCCTAGTTTTTATGGTAACTTCCACCAATTCCCAGAGGAGAATGGAGTTAAGAGCTAGTTTATAAACATAAAAATCAAAAGGACTTATAAAGTGGAGTTTAGGCATCCAAGTCATAATTAATGTCACACAAAAACTATTGCAATTTGGTACTGAGAGTGACTTTGACGGTTATTTGATCTAATCAAAACCTGATTATAGGTTTATTTGAAAACAGTCTTTATCTTGTAAGCATCATACCACACACAGAGAGACTACTTACTATGACAGTTCACCTACGCTAGCCTGCAAGAAAATTCTGATCTGACTTGAATACTACGGAAATGAACACGAACAATAAAGGTTGTTCTGGAGGTGATTATGTCCTGTGATGGGCTGAAAACCTCTGCCTTCTTGACTCAGGCTCCTATTCCCCTTCCCACACTCTGGGGGTTTGTATTCCCTTGTTTTGCCTCAAACATCCCCCTGGCTATTTCCTATTTCCTCCCACTTTTATTTTCCCAGGTCTCACGTACTTGGTAGAATAGCTCCTCTTGCCATGAGACACCTTTCCAGTTCTCAGCAAGGATGAGTTAATAAGTCTTCTTTATTCCCTCGAGATGTAAATCCCCAGGACAGAGGTTGGACAATGGCTGTAACCCTATAGATGCCACCACTTCAATTTATGGCATTTGCAAGATCCTCCCTTAACCATCCAGAATGTGGCAGGATATTGTCTTATGGGAATACAGGGTTAAGGGCTATAGGGACTCTCTAGAGTGTATAGTGTCAATATCTGGAGGAGATATTTGTGTCTATACATACACAACTTGATCACACAAGATAATATAAGTAAAAGTATCAGTTAACTTATAAGTCCATATACAAATGAGAAATAGATCTGCAGTCATATTGAGATTCTAGGCAGGAACATTAGAGCTTCTTTATTTTAAGAACAAGAAATGTTTAACAGTCTTTATTATGGTTCCCACCAACTATATTTTATAGTGAAGAATTATCTTCATTTTGAGAAAATGTGTTTTCTACATGTTTTACTACATGCATATTATGAATATAACTGTTAATAAATTGGGTTTCTAAGTAGCTTCCACTTAAAATATTTTCAGCAGAATGTAAAATTATATTCTAGGTTGTGATAAATAAAATGCAGTTCTGTGAGCAAAAAAAAAAGGGCTAATATCTTTTATTTTTTTGGAATGCACATAGTATAAAAGGAATGTTCCATATCTACAAATTAGACAGCATGTTGTATTTCATTTTCTTACTTTAAAGGTGCTTGTTTGTAATTAAATGCTACCTACAAAAGAATAGTAGATGTCAATGCTCACACTCTCAAAATTATCCTTATTCCTCTCAATTTCATTTTGCTTATGCTTCAAGCCAAAAGTTTTATCTACTTTTGATATTCATGTATCTTGACTAACTTTTGATTGTTATTCCTTTGGTAAAGGTGAATGTGTTGAAGGACATGGATTATTGGAGCTAGAGATGGTTCTAAGAAATAGGATAAAGAGGTGAGGAAAAGACATTTAAATCAAAATCAGACTGAAAACATTGGTTCATGGAAAATCTGGTTGTACAACACATGCTGAAATGTGAATTCATATGTTTTATTTTAGTCAGATCTCTTTCATCATTTGAAATGTAGACTCATTGACAGGTTGGGTATCTTCCTCCAAGTTTTTCTTCTTTGAAATCTCTAAACTAGTTATTCTTTATTCAAAAATGTATCCATTTCTTTATAATTTATACATTTAAGAATTACTGGGTGTCTCTTTATATTAGGCAAAGTGCTGATTTATAGCTACCAAAGTAGCTATAAAAAGATCTTAGAAAATAGAACTTATTACTAAGATTTTTGGAAATGGGAACTATAATATGCAATATAGTCAAGGAACTTCGTGGATAAGTAGCATTGAATAAAGACTGGGATTAGAAATGAGAATAGATGGAAATTATTTTTAACATACCCCACACTAACATATTCATATTTAAAAAAAGATTATGAGGCACATGTTAACTCAAGCTATATAATTCTACTGGTCAACATCTTTCCCTTGAACACTTTCACAATGCTATTAGACTCTGTCTCTGCTCCTTAAGCATCTATTGTTGGTGACACTGCTGCCAACATACCAACTTCAAATTCCTATGTATTTACATCACAAAGAATGATGCCAACATTAACTTGAAACATGGCTATGTCACATTGGAATTGATTTTTTTGGGAACAGCATGTGGAGGATTCCTTGGCGAATCTGCTTGGTCTTCACACTGTAGATGATTGGGTTGAGCACAGGTGGGACTAATAAGTAGATATTAGCCATGAAGATATGGATAAGGGGGGAAGAGTGTTTGAAATAACGATGGACAATAGATAATCCAATCATGGGCACATACAGAATGAGCACAGCACAGATGTGGGATGCACATGTGCTGAGGGCCTTAAGCCTTCCCTCCCTAGATGATATTTTTAATACTGAGTGAAGAATGAACACATAAGACACAAAAATACCTAGAGAGTCCACACCCCACAGTGCAGTCATCAGAAACAACCCAAATATAACATTAAACTTCACATCAGCACAGGCAAGGCGCATCATGTCCTGGTGCAGACAGTAAGACTGAGAAAGAAGGTGGGAGCGGCAGTAGGGTAATAAGGCCAGCCTGATTAGAGGTGGAATGACAGGAAAGGCACTTCTAAGAAAGGCTGCAATTCCAATTTTAATGATAAGTCTTGGAGTGAGAATGGTAGCATATCTTAGAGGGTGGCAGATGGCCACATACCTGTCAACAGCCATAGCCAAGAGCACTGATGATTCAGTGAAGGAGAAGGTGTGAATGAAAAACATTTGAACCACACAGGCACTGAAATTGATCTCCCTGGAAATGGACCATAACACCCTGAAGAGTGTGATCATTGTGGGTATGGACATGCACATGTCTGTGAGGGAAAGCATGGCCAGGAAGTAGTACATGGGCTCGTGGAGTCTGGAATCTGTCCGGACAATATGCAAGATGGTGCAGTTGCCCATTACTCCAATAAGACAAAGGAGACAGAATGGGATGGAAATCCAGTGGTGATATTCCTCATAGCCTGGGATACCTGTGAGATAAAATGTGGACGACCAGGTATTGCTGGAGTTTAAGAATGCCATAGTGCTTAGTGTTAAGCCTCAATCTAATCTCACAATCACACTCCAGTGGGGAAGGCAATGAGAAGGTCAACATCTGTATCAGGAAATGAAAAAAACAAAAACAGAACAAAACTTCAGTGCCTTTTTGTAATTGGTCTAAATCTATGTATTCAATTTTGCTTTGCCTTTCTTCATTATGTTGCTGAGTGTTGTCATTTAATTAATATACCACCATCTTTGCTATAGCACATTCTTTCTGTTTCCAGATGCAGACCCATCAATATTTTACCAAAATACAAAGGCGCTTCTTCTAAAAACAGCACCCAGAACAGAACCCACACAGCATTTTCAAGACTGCTTTTAACTTTTACATTTATGTTCAGGAACATTCTCAGTCCGGGTTACTGGTCTACATTTGCATTTTTATAACCTCTCTGTGATTTATACAAAAACGCCTTTTCAGTATGAAATACTGTAAGAGTGAAACAACTTTCAAGGTGATCTTTATACTATTCAAGCAAATATTGTTCGTGTTTTTACTAATCTCTGGTTCTAAAATTGGCAAGTGGTTTGTTCGTGACTCATGGTCATTACTACTATCAATTTGGGCTTAACAACTTTCCCAGGAGTTAAATACAGGTTAAAAGAAAAGCATATCAAGGAAGGATAATTCAAGAAATAATCATTATAAAATATTTAATTTTGCAGTAGTGATCTTGTTATAATCGTCTCTACAACTCAAGAAAATATAATTGACTGATTTAAATGTGTAGTAACTTCCTTCCTTTCTATTGTGTTTCAGCACTTGTCAATTAATTTTTTCTTTGTTCTAAATTTTCATTTAATGAAATGTTCTTAATTTTCATTTAATTTTCTTTCCTCAATAACACAAGTGGAAAATGACACATAGATAGGTCTTGGAGAGGGATTGAGAGAAACTCCTAACTCAGAAAAGAAAAAAGTAGTAGTGAACACTAAATAACAAAAATACATAAAATGCTCAATAAAAGCCTATTGGGATCTGACCTTGCACTAAATCTGTTCTACTCTGATCAAATGTGAGCACAAATATATTCCTTAACTTAACCAGTACTCCTTTTATTGTAATGAAATTCTCTGAAGTAAAAAAAAAAATAAAAACCTCTTAAAATTCCACTTTTTTTTTTATCACTTGTAAACCACCATCCTCACCAAAATGCTGTTTGTGATTTTACAGACTGTAAGACAGATTACTTGCTACTGAACATTACTAAATTAATTATCTTGCTGTCTTGTAAAGGCTGCTTTGTCCCTTAGTATACTCAAATCCACCACAGTCTCATCCAATTCCATGCCGATAAAACTTGAATGCAATTGAGATTTGCCAGGGATGCTTAACAATACCAATTTCTTTAAAATAGAAAACCTATAATCAAGAAATCAAACATGTCAATTACAGAGCTAAGTTTAGTCTTCCAGAATGATCACATAGCTATTAAATTCTACCAACCTATTGCACAAATCAGTACTTATGGCCCTACCTTTTCCCTTCTTCTATCTGATTTATTATGACACACATATTTCTGGTTCCCCAAGCTGGGCTTATCTGCCTTTCCTTGTTTTTACACACTTACACTCAATATATATCCAATGCCCAGATTGTCCAATATTATCTCATATTTCTTGTGGATTATTTTCCAATTTCTCAGCCATAATTCAATTTAGCAGTCCTACTTCTTTTCATCTCATAGCTTACATTTCAGATGATTTCTCTCATTTTATGGCGTCTCTCACTACCAAGAAGCAGTAAACATGAAGCTTAATCTGACTGGAGGCCCATCTGAAGAAACTCCAGTCACCACCATGATGTCTTACTGAGCATATAATGAGACAATTGCCCACCATGTTTTTACCTGGGAACAAGTTTATACACTGTTTCTTGGTTCTGCTAATATTTAAACAGTTACATTCTGATATAATCTTCTGGTATACAGTTCAACACTTGCTTATACATTAATTTTGAACAAATGACTTTTCACTCTCTATTCCAAAGTTGGCCCCACTGAAATCTGATGATAATAGTATTTCCAGAGGATTGTGCTAAGGATTAAAGGTGATATTTGAATAAATACTGAGGTGACCACAAAATAATGGTGATGATGATAGTATAGATTGGTAGGAGGACAGTAATAACATCAATAACAACAATATTTTTGACATATTATTGGAGGAATAATGACAGTATGAAGTACGCTCCCGTAGTGAGAACAATGAGGGGACATATAACAGAAAAACGAAGCATGTAGGTTGAGGAGAGGGAAATGAATCATAAAAGTTTCACCTCCCTTTTACCCAGTTAAGAATTAGTATAGACAAAAACATGAAGTTTTTCATAATCTTTTTGTGTAACTTAAGACATCCTTAAATTATGAATACCTTAATTACATATTTTTCATTATATTAATAACTCTGATTTGGGGGAAAATATACAGATTCCTGGATAGAATGGGAAATCTAGACCTAGAAAAGACCTAGAAAAGAAATGAGATTTCTGGGATTTCACTAAGAATGGAATCTGAGCAACCATATTAACGTTCCAATTTACCACTATAGATATTCATTAAGTCACATATATTCATTTGTTCCACCTTTTCATCCATCTATTATTCTAAAACCCTATACATTGTAGTACAGGAATGTTGATACTTCCAAATTCTTTTGATTCTGATTCTATAATTTCAAATGCTTTCATGACTTTGGAATATTTTCCACCTATCCACAGTGGAGACTGGAATTAGTTTATTAGCTCAAAAATCAAAAGGACTTATGAAGTGAGGTTTAGAGATTTGACCTGCAATTAATGTCACATAAAAATTACTGCAACTGGGTACTGAAATGGACCTTGAAGATTATCTCATGTAATCACAACCATAGTATAAAATTCTTCTGGTTATTTGAAAAGTCTTCACCTTGTGTAAGCATCACACCCATGCACAGAAAGGAAACCTCTTACTGTCACAGTCTGGGTCACCAAGGCTAACCTGCATGGATATTCTGATCTGATTTGAATGCTATGGAAATGGACATGAACAATAACGCTGTTCTGGAGGAGATTATGCCCTGAGATAGAATGAGAACCTCTGCCTTCTTGGCCCAGGCTCCTGTTCCCCTTCCCACACTTTGGGGGTTTGTATTCCCTTCTTTTGCCTCAAATATCCCCCTTGCTATTTCCTATTTCCTCCCACTTTTATTTTCCCAGGCCTCACGTACTCGGTAGAATAGCTCCTCTTGCCATGAGACACCTTTCCAGTTCACAGCAAGGATGAGTTAATAAGTCTTTTTTGTTCCCTCGAGATGTAAGTCTCTAGAACACAGATTGGACAATGGCTGTAACCCTGTAGGTGCCACCACTTCAATTTATGGCATTTGTAAGATCCTCTCCTCACCATCTAGACTGTGGCAGGATATTGACTTATGGGAATACAGGGGATGAGGGCTATGTGGACCCTCGTGGCAATATTCACATTGTCTTCACATCTTTCCTTAACACTATCATTTTTGCTTTTTTTTCATATGATACCAAGAACATGATCTAATTTCTTGTTTATACATCAGGATTTTATTTTTAGTTATTATTTGGGTCAGTGCTAATAATGTCTGCAGGAGTTGGAAAATTAGAAATCACGATAAGAAATAGCATAATTATGTAGGGGCACACATATAGCTGTATTAAATCCAGACACCAGAAATAATTTGAAAACAGTCTTCACCTTGTGTAAACATCACATCCAGAGTCCATGCAGAGAGGAGACTACTGCCACAGTCTTGGAAATTGTAGATGTACTCCATGTGCCTGAAATTTGAAATCTTATTTTTTAGCTACTAATATCTCTTTTATTTTACAAAATGTAACTCTTGACAGGCCTATGTTTGCCACAAAGATTTATTGCTGTACCAAACTATTTTTTAACAATGATTGAATAATTTCTTAATCATTTATTTGTTCTGTAACAAACTATTTTAAAACATTATTTATTCAATAACTATTGATTCCCTTTTATAACTATAGTATAGAATTGGACAGACACTGGTTGAAGAATAAGTCCTATGTAACTGGCTTAAGATATGTGAAAATACATTACATATTATTAAGAACAAAACAATATTGGGAGCTGTAACACATGTTTACTTACAAACTTCTTTTTTTCACTTTCAGTTATTTTTGTCTTCATCTGTAAATATACAAGCTAAACAAATTAAATTGGGTAGGTTCATATAAGTCTATGCTTTGTCACATTAGATAATTTCAGAGTAATAAGAAAAGATAGGTTTGTAAAAGCATTCTAGATTAAAATTTAAAAACCTATATTTTCATTTTCCTGCTACCAAGAACTTATAAGTAGGTATAATTCAGAATTACATCAATTTTACATTTAGAAACTATTAGATCCTAAATTATTATCCAGATTTTTTAAAACCAATAGATTTCAATTGCTGTTTTTATATAAAAATAACTGAGGGCTTTTTTATCCTATGGGCCAGCTTTCTACAAAATTAATATTGTTTCTAAAAATTAAGTAAAAATAAATGAATAAAGAGGTTGCCACTTTGTATCCCTGAGAAAAACAAATCTCAAAAGGGCATAAAATACATAAACATTGAAAGATGACCCTCGTGCAACATGAGGATTTATATCTTGTGATTTGGGTACAAAAATGATTTTAAATTAAGATAATATTTTTTCTATCTTCATGAAAATAGAGAAAAAACAGATTAAAAACACATTTATATAATAAGGATTACAATATAAAATGCCCTGAAAAATATTCAAAATTAAAAACCAGGAAATGTGGATTCAGTATATTCAAGGAAAACTTCATGGAGAGGTGACCTTGAATAAGAGTTGATATAAGAAATGAGAGAAAAAGGAGGTAAATTATTCCCAACACACTCTATAGTAACACATTTATAGTTAAAGCATATTTATGAGAGACATGTTAAGTCCATCCCTTTAGTTCCAGTGGACACCAGCTCTTTCCTTAGGACCCTTTCATGATGCTTCCTTGCTCTATTAATGGTTCTTCAGAACTCTCCCGTTAGTAACACTGGTGCCCACACACCTATATCAGACAAATTGTTATGTAATTACATCACTAAGACATGTGCCATCATTATCTTGAGGACATGACTACATCATACTAGAACCGATTTTCTTGGGGAGAAACAGGTTGAGGATTCCTTGACGGATCTGCTTAGTCTTCACACTGTAGATAATTGGGTTAAGCACAGGCGGAATTAATAAGTAAATATGAGCCATGAAGATGTGGATGAGTGGGGAGGAGTGTTTGGCAAAACGATGGACGATAGATAGTCCAATCATAGGCACATACAGGATGAGCACAGCACAGATGTGGGATCCACATGTGTTAAGGGCCTTAAGCCTTCCCTCCCTAGATGATATTTTTAATACTGAGTGAAGAATGAACACATAAGACACAAAAATGCCCAGCGAATCCATGCCCCACAGCACAGTGATCAGAACCAATCCATATATAACATTAAACTTCACATCAGCACAGGCAAGGCGGATCATGTCCTGGTGCAGACAGTAAGAATGAGAAAGGACATGGGAGCGGCAGAAGGGAAAGAAAGCCAGCCGGGCCAGAAGTGGAATCATAGCAATGGCACTCCTGAGCAGGGATGCAATTCCAATTTTGATGATAAGTCTTGGAGTGAGAATGGTAGCATATCTTAGGGGGTTGCAGATGGCCACATACCTGTCAAGGGCCATGGCCAAGAGTACACATGATTCAGTGAAGGAGAAAGTGTGAATGAAAAACATTTGGACCACACAAATATTGAACTGGATCTCCCTGGAAATGGACCACAGCACCCTGAAGAGTGTGATCATTGTGGGCATGGACATGCCCATGTCCGTGAGGGAAAGCATGGCCAGGAAGTAGTACATGGGCTCATGGAGTCTGGAATCTGTCCGGACAATATGCAGGATGGTGCAGTTGCCCATGATTCCAACAAAGTAGAGGACACAGAATGGGATGGAAATCCAGTGGTGATATTCCTCATAGCCTGGGATACCTGTGAGATAGAACATGGAGGAAAAGGTATTGCTGGAGTTTAAGGGTGCCATAGTGCTTGCTGTTACGCCTCAATCCAATCTCACAATCACACTCCAGTGGAGAAGGCAATGAGAAGATCAGCATCTGTGTAGGGAAATTAAAAATAAAAAAACAATTCAAAACTTTTGCTTGCTTACAGTTGTCTCTAAATCATGTCCACAGCCTTGCTTTCTTTTTCTCCATTTCACTGTTGAGTTGTTGTTAGTTAACAAAGCATTTCTTGTCTTCCCAGATCAGACCCATCATTTCTACCTAAATATGAATGATTTTCTTATAAAAACATTACCTATAACTGCACTCACAGAATGTCTTCTACATTAAATTTTTATCTTCACAATTTATGTAGGGAACATCCCACATCTCAACCATGGTCACTGATGTCACAACAACACTGGCTTATTAGCATGCAAACTCCTGTTTCTCCACATTTCACGTATCTTCCTCCTCCTCCTTTCTACACTTCCACTCATTATTACCTTCATTGCCCACATTTTCCAGTGTTATCCCTTCTCCTTTTCCAATTTCTTATCCTTCATCCAATCTTAGAAATCTGACTTCTTTTTCTTTTACTGTGACTTCTCTAATTTTATGATCCCTCTCTCCTACCTCCAAAAAAGAAGTAAAAGTAAAGTTAATTAAAAATTGGAAAATTTATGACCTGAAGGAACATCTCAGTGACTTTTTATTTTTATTGAAGTAAAACTCCATTAAAACATGAGATATGTGTCAGATGTTCATCACTGAAAATGTGTGTATATGAATACATTTAAGTTCACTATTAAATGTCCAAATCACTCCTACATTGACTTCTTATTGAGATTTTAAGGAGACAACTTCCCACCATATACCACATGCAGACTCTGTTTTCTGGATCTGCTAGCACTTTGACAGAGGTATATTATTGCTCCCACATTTATAACTTTGCACAAATTACTTTTATCTCATTGTTCCAAACTGTCCCCTCTGAAATCTGAAGACAGTAACAATTTGATAGATGCTGAAGACTAAAAGAGATATTTTGATTTAAATATTTAGCATAAACTCTTATATATAGTGACCATAAAATAATGGTGGTAATGATGATGATGTTATAGTGCTGAAGATGAAGGAGTAATGTGGACAATATTCACAACAATAATGACAACATATTTTGAAAATATTATTAGAGGGAAGAATATGTGGGAATATGGAGCATCTACCCACAGAAGAGAGCACTATGAGTAGACATGTGACAAAAGCAATCTAGGTAGCCTGAGAAGAGGGAAATAAATTATCAATCGATCAGTGATATCTCCCTTTTATCCAGCGAACATTCAGTATAGCCAGAGAGATGAAATTTTTCTTACTCTTTTTCTATACACTAAAACTTCTCTAACAATGATGACGACCCTAATTATATTCTTTTCTTTATGTACATTGCAAACTTGGAGAAAAACAACATACAGGATCTAGGGGAATAGGAAATCTGATCAAGAAAAGAAAAGAGATTATTTGGTATTTCACTGAGCTAGACATTTGAGCAGTCTCGTTGCTATTCTACATGATCACAACATAAGTGTTCACTGCAATACACACATTCCCACTTGTTATGCTATAATCATGTTCATTATAGTGCAGGCTCATTCTGACAGTCGGTTCCTATTGCTTCTGATTCCATAATTTCAAACGTATCTCCATGGTTTTCTGATATGTTCCACCATTCCTCAGGGAAGGAGGAGAGACTTTGTAGATTTATAGACTCGAAAATCAAAAAGACTTATAAAATGGAGTTTGGGTCTCTGAGACATAATTAATGTCATATTAAAAACCACTGATAATTGTTATTGAAAGGAAACTTGAAGGTTATCTGATGTAATCCCAACCTTAGTATAGAATTCATTCTCTGTTTTACCTAAACACAGCCCTTTACCCTGGGTAAGCATCACACCATGCACAGAGAGGAAACCCTTACTATGAAAGTCTGGGTTATCTAGGCAAGCCCTGCCTGAAAATACTGATCTGACTTGAATGCTATGGAAATGGACATGAACAATAAAGCGCTTCTGATACTGTGTCCTGTGATGGACTGAGAGCCTCTGTCTTCTTGGCCTAGTCTCCTGTTCCCCTCCCCACACTGTGGGTGTCTGCCCCCGTCTCTTTTGCTTCAAACATCTCCCTCACTATTTTCCGATGTCCTGCCACTTTCATTTTCCCCAGTCCTTACATACTTGGTAGAATAGTTCCTCTTGTCGAGAGAGACTGTCCTAGTTCTCAGCAAGAAGGATGAGTTAATAAGTCTTCCTTTGTCCTTAGAGATCTGAGTCCCCAGGACACAAGCTGGACAATGCCTGTAACCCTGTCTGTGCCACCACTTCAGTGTATGGTTCTCCCTAATCTCCTTCCACCACCATTCAGATTATAGCAAGGCATTGCCATTTGGGAGATGGGGAAATGCTACACAGAGCCTCAAATCAGCATAGCTTCAACATCTAGGTAAATGATAGAATACATTGAGATGAGGTAGCTCTTTATATTGAGAATATATAGAACTTACATATATATGTGCATAAATTGCATAGGAAACAGACTCAAAGGAATTAAACTATGAAGACACATAGATCCTTTAGCCCAATTGCTAGAAGTAACTACAGTTCTATTTTCATAAACTGAATAAAAACAAGACTTGGTTGCCTCCTTCAAAATCAGAAACACGAGGACTATGGGAGGGTCTCCCTGTAGGCCTGCACCTCTGTCCTACAACCCTATTCTTGTATGCATAAATAAATAAAAGTAAAACCTTTAAAAGTAAAAGAATAGGAAGAATATGGGAGGTATGGGTACCTTCCATTCAATTTTGTTAAAAACATAAAATTGCTGTAAAAGTAAAATGTATTTTAAAAACATCTACTAAGGTTTAAAATAATGTCATCACAAACTTTTTTATTTATTTCTTTTTTATGTTTATTTTTTAAGTTATAATTTTAATTAATTAATTTTTATTTTTTAATTTTATATATATTTTACATTATTTTTCATTTTTGCACAATGTATACATTTTCATTGTGGTTATTATAGTCCCCATACAATTCCCATCTCCCCTTGTTTTGATCCTACTCCCTCCTCCCCCCTCTGTAGTGTGTCTCTGGTTTATAGCTGCTTGTTGATTTTGATTTTTACTTTATTATAATTAGTCTTTTTCCTGATCTCTTATTTAGGTTTTCTAAATACCTGCTATGAGTGAGACCATCTGATATTTTTCTTTTTCTTTATGGCTTATTTCACTGAACATAATCCCTTCCAGCTCCATCCATGTTGCTGCAAATTGCATGAGTTTATCCTTTTTGATTGCTGAGTAATATTCCAGTGTGTATATGTACCACATCTTCTTTCTTTTTAATTGAGGTAATATTTGGATACCCCCATCAGTTATTACCACCATAGAGTACCCACCACCAAATCACTCATATTCCACCCCATAGTCCATTGTCGCTTCTTCCTTCTTTGTTCTTATCCCTCCCCTACACCCACTTTCTAGTGCTTCAGTTCTATAGTCAGCTTTCAAGGGTTAGTTTTTAAGCCTGTTTTATCTATTAATTTAGTTATTTTATGTTAGAGACACCATCTGGTATTTATTTTTTTCCCTCTAACTTATTTCACTTAGCATTATCCCTTTCAGCTCCATCCATGTAACTGCAAACTCTTTTCTAATGTGGTACTTTCTTCACTGTGCCATAAAGTTTCCTGAGGAAACAGATCAGATAAATTTGATTAAATTTAAATGGAAGCTTTTGCTTAATGAACAAAATTCTCCAAATGTTTGCCTACAATATTGACTTAAATGTCTTTTTTGTTGAGTCCTGTATCCCAGTTGGCATATGGTCTATTAAGTGGGACTGTGTTGCCAATCCCACTTAGTACAGGAACTAATTTAAAAATAAACAGGACCTACTATTATTAATCTTTCCAACTCTGGAATTGATATTGTCAAAATTGGTTTGATTATAACTGAACAACACTACCATTTATTTACTTAGTATTTATTTCATGAGATTATTCATCCTCAGGTGTTGTTATATTTAACACAGTCTATTGTGAATTCACATTAAGGAATTGATGACTTCAACAAAAGTTAATAGTTCTTTTTTTTAAGATTTATTTATTTGCACACAAGAACTGGGGTACAGGCCAGAGGTGTGGGGGTAAGAGGATTCACCAGAGACAGAGTGGGGAGCAGAACAGGCAGATGTACTGAAATACACTGCTGAGGGGAGCAGCAGGAGAGTCAGGAGAGGTCTGCTGCACCATGTGGGTGGCTCCCTGCCTGGAAATCAAATTCATGCTGCAGTGGCTGTGGAGAGCTTAATAGGTTGCATCTTAACCCCGTGCTCCCCCAGGGAGCCCAGAAGTAATAATTCTTATAGAGAAGATTTACTCAGGTACTCAGTTGATTTCTTTCCTCAAAAAGAAATTTATTCCGACTGACAGGCTCTGAAAATGATTGACTGTGTATGCCTTACCACTAAAAAGCACCTCAGAACTCCATCTTCCCAGCTCTCCCTGTGAAATTACCAGAAAAAAAGGTTGGTCTTACTACTTTATTGGTATGAATGACCTCAGAATTCTCCTTATATTTTTAATTCTTTAATATGAACTTAAGTCACTTTGACATCACCTAAACAGTGTATGACCAAGGATTTGAAATGTAGAGGATTATGTTCAGTCACGCAGTTATACTCCATTAACTTATTACTCTGGTATACAGTTAAAGAAATAAAAAAAAATTACATTCCCGACCCCACCAAGTTCTTTGACATTATTTCACAATCTGAATCCTGAACAAAGCACTATGATGAGTAAACTGTGATAGCCAAATATCCACATTTACAGCTAATGATGGAGAGGCTTCCACAGTTAGAGGCTGATTGATGTTACCCCAATAAATAATGCTCTTAAAATAAGAAAAAATAAACTTTAGGATCTATATAGGATAAATTGTTTCTTCAGGAAATAAAATATTAGATTATCTTTGTTAGTTGCAACTTTAATTTTAATTTATTATTTTTATCATCTTATGGAAAATACCAGTGTATATCAAAGTAGAGAGATTATAATACATCCCCAACTAAACATCAACCAGCTTCAACAATTATTAAATGATGAACAGTTTTATTTGGTTTTGTATTTATACCAATACTATTTCTATTTTTCCTATATTTGTTTTTGGAAACATTCCACATATTATTTAATGCACAAATTCTTCAGTATACTTAATGTAGAAGATTCCAGTCATATGTTTTCTGCTCAGAAATCCCTATATATTATATTAAATATATTTTTTGAAGAATTCTCAGATTCTAAAACTCTTATTTTTTAGTAAACTTGATATTTTTGCTACATATATAGTATTATTTCTTTATTTGTAACCTTTAATAACTTCACCAGGATATGCCTGGGTGAGAATTCTCTTCCATATTGGAAAAATATCTCTCTTTCCTCTTTCATCTGTGCTATTCTCTACTATATTGACACCCATTAATCAGATTATGAGTCCACAAGGTCTGTCTTACATATCAATTATTATCTTAGTAATAAGTTCACTTTTTTAATGTTTCCCTTCTATTCCTTTTATGTAAGCCTCTATTTTATTTATGCTGATTAAGACATGCCAGCTATTTCAGTGTACTTATTCATTCTTTTCAGTATTCTCTAAGAGTATCCATTTGCCCCCTTTATTCCAAAATCTGGTTGTCTATTTCAAGTCTTTAAACTACATTACACTGATTTTTTGCTGTCTTAAATTCATTTTTAACTATAAAGTGTGTTGTCTAATTTTTTCTGTTCCTGGACATAAATTCACTTCCTTAACTGCTTTCATTATTTTCCATATCCTTTCTACTTTTGAAGTTATACCAACTTGATGTTGTATAGGTATATTTATGTATGGCTGTCACTGTGATTTAAAATAATATTTGCACAAAAATAATTTTTTTAGGTTTTCCTTGAACTTTCTAATTACCTAAGCCCCACTTTCCTTCTCCCATTAGGATATGCACATTTAATATTGAAAATTACCTTGTTTGTTCTTTTCCTGTCACTTCCTGGGAATTGAGTGTGATAGCAGGAGATTTAGGAAGTTATTGTTTATGGTGGTTTTCAGCATTTCTTTTGCTGTATTTTTTTTTAAACTCCTGTACATAAGATATTTTGCCTAATAGGAGTACACACTAACCAAAGGAGCTTCATATTTTTTCATCTTGCCATTTGACGAGTGTGCAGCCATTGTGGTGTGAAATCTGTCTTTGGGTTTTCTCCATTGGGAAAACTAACTCCATGCATTTATTATCCAAGTTACTTTTTTTCTAACAATAATTTCAAGAGAAGTAAATGAAACAAAGAAATGCAGGGTTTTTGTTTATCCCATCTTTAAACTCAAACATGCATCTGTTATAATTTAGCTTAAAATGTGAAAAAAAACGAGACCCATTTTCTCCTCATGGGAAAGAAATTTACCTAGTTCCCAATGCCAGTGGTACTACATATAATACCCCTGCTGTCTTTGAAACGTTAGTTTCTCTATGCCTTAGTTTTAACAGAAAATTGAACTCTTCTTTTAAATCTAAATAGAAACCATCTCCATAAATTATTTGAATGAAGTAAATTTCCTTTTACTTACTCTCTTTGGACCAGGATTCTGATATGCTCAAGTTAGGAAGTAACGACCCAAAAATAATTACAATAATTTCCTTGAAAGGACTTGTAAAATTAATTATCATGGAAAGATTATACACCAAATGTTTCCAGAAGCTCTAAATAGGTTATCTTCAGGATGAAGAAAATAGATGTTAAGGTCAAGATAAAAGGAAATCATGTGCTTTCTATGTTTAATTAAGCCCAAACCTTCTGGCTAAAAATATCTTTAGGAAGCCTTGGCGAATCTGCTTTGTCTTGACGCTATAAATAATTGGGTTGAGTACCGGTGGGACTAAGAGGTAAATATTGGCCATAGTTATGTGGATAATAGGGGAGGAATGTTTTGCATAACGATGCACCATAGATAGCCCTATCATTGGCACATACAAAATGAGTACAGCACAAATGTGGGAGGCACATGTATTAAGGGCTTTTAGCTTCCCTCCCTTGGATGCAATACTTAGCACAGAGCGGAGGATGAAAGCATAAGATATGAAGATTCCTAGAGAATCTACACCCCAATAACAAGCAACAACAAACAAGCCATACAAAATGTTGAAAGATATGTCATCACAGGCCAACCGGATGACATCTTGATGCAAGCAAAAAGAGTGCGAGAGAACATGGGAGCGACAGAAGGTAAATTTAGGAATCCGAACAACAATAACAGGGAGGACAATTGCGCATCTGATGACAATGGCGATCCCTATGTAGACAATGCGTTGTGCGGTCAGTTTGCTAGAATACCTCAAAGGATCACATATGGCAACATACCGGTCAAAAGCCATGGCTAGGAGCACAGCTGACTCCATCAGAGAAAAAGTATGAATGAAATACATCTGGACTACACAAGCATTCACTTCAATCTCCCGAGCATCAAACCAGAAGACTTGCAGCACTGTGGGTAGGGTGGAGATGGACATGCCCATGTCGGTGAGGGACAGCATGGTCAGGAAATAGTACATGGGCTCGTGGAGACTCTTATCAGTGCGAATGACATGAAGAATTGTACAGTTGCCCACTATTCCAATTGTGTATAACACACAAAAGGGGATGGAAATAACGTGATGAAAATTCTCATAGCCAGGAATTCCAGTGAGGTAGAGTGAAACAGACTGTCCAAAACTAGAATTAGAACCTGTGACCAGGTTGCCCCATGGAGCCATTATCTTACCATAAGCATGTGGACTCCTAGAAGGAAGAAAAACACACAATATTAAGAATATTGAAACCCATATTTCTTTTAAAATCATTTTTTAAAGATTTATTTATTTTTATACAAGAGCTGGGGTAGGCTACAGGCCAGAGGCTTGGGAGGGTGAGAGGATTCACCAGAGACAGAGTGGGGAGCAGAACAGGCAGAAGGACCAAAATACACTGCTGAGGGGAGCAGCGGGCCAGACAGGAGAGGTCTGCCGTGCCATGTGGGTATCTCCCTGGCTGGCCGGGAATTTAACCCACACTGCAGAGGCTGCTGACAGCTTCACAGCACTGTGCTCAAACTGCTGCACCACCGGGAAGGCCCTCTTAAATTTTTTTGCTTTGTAGGCATATTATCTATCCAGTTTAGATGAAGAAGTATCTAAATTCACCTCCCTCTGTTAACATATCAGTGTTTAATCCTTTAATTGGTTTATAGTTATTATGTAGTTTTGTCAATCATTTTACCCTATTGATTCTGGATTTTGAGTCACTGATAGGATGTTTGTCCCTTATACTAACAATATGTCTCATATTTTCTTTTTTTTCCTGTCAAATTTTATTTGACATTCATTTACATAGTTTTATAATTTGGGAAGTACAACTTCACATCTCCATGACTCACTCACTCACCAACGAATCTCTATTTTAATAGGTTGGTTAGATTTTTATTTTACTTTTGGGTTTTTTTCTTTTGTATTTATATATTTTTAATTGAGGTAATCAGATATTGCCACTGCAGTGCACCCACCACCAAATCACACATAGTCCACCCCCATGGCCCGTTGTGCTTCCTTCCCTCTTGTTCTTATCCCTTCCCCAACCCCTCCCCTCTGCCTGCTTCAGTTTAAACTTACGGATCCATCATTTACTTGACATTAATTTTTGTATATGATTCAGTTTAAGGATATTTTGTAAGACCTTGTTCTCTCTGGGTTAAGTATTCCATTTTCTCTCACAAGAGCACTTGATGGAAATATTTTAGAGTGAATGGCATTAAAATCTTAGGCAATAAATTCAGTTAGCTGTCACCAGTGGAGAAAACCCACAAGGTTAATCAAGCAATATCATAGGATAAACATGGATGCTTCAAAAACATTGTATATACAGTGTATGTGGTTATACCAACTAGAGAGGTAAATAAATCTACCCTCAAAGTGGCTGAAATCAGAAAGAGAAGTCCACAAGCATCCAAAGGTAAAGAGCACTTACTTCATTTACTCAATCTTGGGTATTTGAAGTTTGGTATCACTTCCATATCCTCCACTGTGGTTCCTTTGTGTGTACCTACACTGCAACGAGTCCAGAGTTCTCATTAAGTGAGTTGTTATTATCTGTTCCATGGATACTTGTTTTGTGAGTGATATCAGTCTTGTTAATCCTGGAACCTCCCTGTGGACATGGTCTTTTAAAATATGAACGTTTTTTACATTTTAATTCTTTTTGTTTAAAGATTTATTTTATTATGCATAAAAGAACTGGAGTACAGGCCAGAGGAGTGGGGGGTGAGATGATTCACCAGAGTGGGAAACAGAACAGGTGGACTGACTGAGATACACTGCTGAGGGGAGCAGTGGGCATGTCAGGAGAGGTCTGCTGCACCATATGGGTAGCTCCCTGGCTGGCTGGGGATCGAACTTGTGCTGCAGAGGTTGTGGATAGATTCATAGGTTGCGTCTTAACCCCTTGCGCCACCAGGGAGGCCCCTACATTTTAATTCTTATATTTTTACCATGACAAATCTAAATGATATCATCAGAAAAGAATGGTACATAAGTAGACTGAAGACTAAAGACAGGTGGGTTGCCTAAAATCACATAGGTATAAAAGTATCTTTAGGAAATCTCAATTTTGGGACTCTGCTCATGTACATTGAGATGTTCCAAAGCAGAACTTGTTTGCCCTCACAGGCTGCTGCAGCTCTGGGGCTAGCTTGGTTAGTATTTGAAGCACTAGTCTTTTTAAAAAAATAACATCATATGTTAAAAGAAAAAAAGACTGATGTGTTAAATGTTGAGATTACTGTTTAATACATATGATTCAGAGATAGAGATTCACGCGACTTCAAACATATGTTACCACAAAGCATTCACCACCACAGTCCTCCACCAAGATCACTGTACCTTCTCATCACTTTCCTCCAACTCCTATCTTCCCACTCTGGTAGACTCAAGTCCACAGATTTCTAGAATTGGTTTTGTTTTGTTTTGTCTGTTCTCTTGTTTTCTTCTCCATATTCCTCAAAACAAAGGAAGCTTCAGTCTTATGCTTACCATCATATGTTAACAACAAATAACTAACTTGGATCATTCAAATTCTTAACTACCTCTGCTTTTTACTAGTTTTTTTTTTTTTCTTTACTGCCATACTTTCCTCCTGTTACAAGTTACTAAAGTCCTTGTTATTCAATGATTTGTAATTTATCCCTCATATTTGAGGTGTAGAAGTAGGCACCAATAAAGAGTAAAATAGCAGAAATTTACCAGGCTAACACTTACCCCAGGGCCTAATAAGACTGAAAAAAAGGGGAATGTTCCATGATGAGAGTTGAGAGCCTAGAATTTACAAATAGGAGTGTGTATATATTGCTGGTGACAAGGGCTAAAAAGAAGTGAATGAGTAACATTCTTCAAGGACTATGATCAATTGGAATTACAGAACATGTTTAAAAAGATTGTGAGGGGCCTCCCTGGTGGCACAGGCCATTGAGCGCGGTGCTGTGAAGCTGTCCGCAGCCTCTGCAGTGCCTGTTTGATCCCCGCCAGCTGCAGAGATAACCACAAGCAGGGCAGACCTCTCTTGTCTCGCCCTCTTCTGCCCTCAGCAGCGTATTTCTATCGGTCTGCCTGTTTTGTTTCCTGCTCTGTCTCTGGTGAATCCTTTCACCCTCCTGCACATCTGGCCTATACCCCGGTTCTTGTATAAAAATAAACCTTTAAAAAAAAAGAAAATTATTTAAATATAGATAAATAAAAAGGGCCTCCCCAGTGGCACAGTGGGTTGAGCGCGGTACTGTGATGCTGTCTGCAGCCTCTGCAGCGTGGGTTCGATTCCCGGCTGGCCAGGGAGATTCCCACATGGTGCAGCAGACCTCTCCTGACATGTCCGCTGCTCCCCTCAGCAGGGTACTCAGTAGATCTGCCTGTTCTGCTCCCTGCTCTGTCTCTGGTGAATCCTCTCACCCTCCCATGCCTCTGGCCTATACCCCAGCTCTTGTATAAATAAATAAAATCTTTAATAAATAAATAAAAGGATTGTGAGAACACAATGGGGTATATAATCTGTGTTTCTGTACCTCATTTTATCTATCCTTAATCTGGCATCTTTCCCAAAACCCTATTAAAGCTGACATAGTTCTAGTCAAGTTAATCAGTGACCTCAAGTCACTCGACACAAGCAACTTCCCCCCAAACCTTATGGTCATACAACCTCAGCAGTATGTGAAATGGTTGATCTTGTTTTCATTAGAAAATAATTTTCCCATATATATTGACTTTTGAAACCATGATTTATTTTGCTTTTCCCACCTTGTAAAAGATGTGCTGTTTTAAAATCTTCGTTGGGTCTTCCTCCGCAGCCAGATTTTTAAATGCTTCATGAACACCCAGGTTTTACTTCTGCTTTGTTCTCTTATATAATTATATTCATTTCCTAAGAAACTCTATCAACTCAGTGACTGTACCATCTGTGTGTCGGTAACTCACCATCCATCTTCATCCTTCACCTCTCCACTGAGCTCCAGACCAGTATGTCTACTGAATAGCTCTGCTTGTGTGTTTAAAAGTCACCACAAACATCACACAGCCCTGAAAGTATGCTTGATAATTACCTTAATATTTCCATCTTAGCAAATGTGACTTGTGCTGCTATAGTTGATCAAATGTAAAAACTAAGTATTGTCCTCCTTTACTCAAATTCTTTTACTCCTTTCCAGTCCATCAACAGTCTTATTGTTTCTATGTCCAAAGTTTTTAATTCTTTCACTTCTGCCTTTACCATTGATAGGATTTCTCTTTTAAACAATTTTGTTAGCCTTTTAATTTATCTCCTTTTCACTCCCATGTCATTCCGAACAAATATATTTTCCTTATAGCAGGTAATAAATTCTTAAAAATGTAGATAAGTCGAGTCATCTCATGTTAAAAATGTTTAATTGTGATTATTGATCTCGGAATGAAAGGAAATTCATGGTTAATACTTACAAGATCCTTCTTCATGTATGAAAAAAGAGATGTGGATTTTTCCGTGTGGTTTTGTCACTTCTCACCTTCCTCCTCAGCTTTGTGTTCTCATGTTAAAATCCCCTAGATTGCTCTCTCAGACATCATTGTTAGATCTGACCTCAAAACATATCATTATTACCTTTGTTCACCAAATTACATTGACAATTGTTTCACCTCCCAACTTTGCTTTTTTCAATAACAGACTTACTCAAGTGTGTAGATGACTTTAGTTTCCCCTGTATTTAATTAACTGTCATAGTTTGCTTAATCACTCAAAGTTAGATTACTCACTCAAGCAGGAGATAGAGCTTCCAGGAGTTATAGAAGGTTACCAGTATATATACATATACTGTATAAAAGCATAAAAAAGCTTTTCACATTTTCTGTTTATATAGGGACACTAGAAGCCCAAGGGAAACAAAGCCACTCGGGCAATGGAAGGGACCTTCGGGACTAAAGAATGAATGTTGCTCAGAATGAGAGTGGGAATTTCCACAGAAAAGGGAATACCTATGGGAGAGTCAAGGGACAGGATCAAGGAAACCCTGATTTGATTCGTCCTGATGACTGGTTGAAAAAAAAATTATACACACACACACTATTCAATTCATTAAATGACTGGTTTAGCTTTCTCAATTAAGCATCAATTCAAATGATATTTCTTTTTTTAAAAAAGATTTATTTATTTATGCATACAACAACTGGGGTACAGGCCAGAGATGTAGGGGGGTGAGAGCACTCAC